TATATATATATATATATATATATATATATATATATATATATATATATATATATATATATACATATATATATATATATATATATATATACACTGAAGTGCTATAAAAAAGCTGGAAAAATATCCTTTCAAATTTTATAACGTGGGATTATAAAAGCGATAGAGGATATGCAGCAGCCAGTATTTTGTAGAGCAAAACATTGGTCATCCATTACTATTGATATGGCTATAGCATTTCTTTCTGCATATTCTCGTGTGGTTTGTTGCTTCATTAAAGTCTATTTCAGTTACAAAATGAGCGAGATGAGTTGGCTGGACAGGTTGAAGCGGAGCAGAGTTGGGTCGTCGATACACTGCTCGTAAAAATTCGTAAACTAGAGGCGGAAATTAGTGCAAATCACACGGTAAATTTCCAAAACTTCATGCTTTTAACTCACCGTTATACTTATTTCAATATTATCTTGAAAGCTGATAGATTATAGTAATTATTACAGGCACTCGAGCAACTGCGTCGCGAAAAAGTCGATCTTGAAAATGCGCTTGAGCATGAACAAGAATCTCTATTCAACACTCTGGGTAAACGGATGGATCAGTTGGAGGCTGAAAAAAGGTTTCTGTTTTTGCTATTTTTTAAAAAACCTTGCAGTATTAGGTTTAAATATTAAAATTATTAGAGTTCATGCAGACTTTTAAAGAACAATTCAATTAAAGATTTCTTTCCAGACGTATGCAGGCTCGCTTGGATCAGGCCAGTTTGTCGGAAGATCATTCGCCATCCTCCTTGGCTAATGAATTTCCTTCTCACGAGTAAGCCCACCTAGTCTTCTGTTTCATTTTTTTTTAGATTTTTTTTTCGAAGGATTGTGAGGTATTTCACCTGAAATAACTTTATTTACAAGGATGAATGATACTGGAGAACGTCGTTCGACAAGAGCTGAAACAGAAGCTCGTAAACTGCGTGAAGAATGCAGTCGCCAGCGCAGCGTTATCGCCAGTCTCAAGGGAACAATCTCCAATTTGCAGCAACAAATGAGTGCACAGGAAACAAAATGTTCGTCCAGTTCCATTGTTCTCCTTAATTTGCAAATGTTTTCTGAGTATGTTTAGTATCTATTTGTTTCAGATATGTAAGGAATACTTCATAAAAAATGAATAGTTGATAAATATTATTTTAGATGTTGCTGATTTGCTGGCCATTCGTGAAAAGTCAGCTGAGTCGCGTGCGAATAATCGTCGCGCACGTATGGCCTTGGAAACTGATTTGGCACGTTGTCTTGAAACCTGTCGGTAAGAGGAATCTACAATATATTCTCGAAAAAAAAAATGTTGCTGATATAATGGAAGTAAGAAAGGGAAGAAGCATAAAGAGTTGGTGAAGAAAGTGATAGGACAACTTTTTGGTTCGAGCAAAATACTCTTACCAAGATAATGAGATAAACTGTGGAGCTTTTAATTTATGCAAATATTAAGGAATTTGAAAAGAGCATTTCTATTATATGTGTGACTTCTGTGCTTTGTTCCTCTGCAGTGCATTCGCTGCTTCTGAAACAGCACGTGAGAGCGATGAGGACAATTGTATGGCGGCACTTCTTAACCGAATGTCGGTTCCGAAAAGCATGACACCAACCCCCACTTATCCTGCAGAAACTTCTCGTAAGTTGATTTTCAGCATAAATATTTGCGACCAATGATCATTTTGGGAAGACTATTAGAATCCATATCTTAATTTATTCATGCTTAATTTTTTAAGATTTTACAGCAAGTGCTATGGCAGTTCCGAATACCGATGTTGGTCTATCCCCTTGGCACAGTGAACGTGTCTCATCCGGACGTTCTGGATCGCAGGGTATAATTATTATTAATGGAATATCAAGTGCTAGCAAATTGCTGATATACGTCACAAAGGCAACAGGAATATTGTATCGAGTCATTTGTATCCCCTATATTTTTAGGCGAGAGAATGGAAGAGGGTTCAGAGACAGCAGATGTAGATGGTGATGTGAACATGGATGCAAGCTTCTTCATTAGTGAACGTCTTTCTCCTCGTAATGGTAAATGATCTATAACTGGTTTTCATGAATTATGCATATACTGAAACTAATGTATTGAACTTGGACTTTTCCTTTATATATTGAAATTAATGAATTAAACTTGAACCTTTCTTCTTTACGGAAGAAAACTCCGCATAGTTGTTTTAGAGGATGGAGAGCGTTTTAATGAGGAGTCGACGAAGACATCATCGGCATGTCCCGGTTCGATTTCATCAGTTTCAAATGAAGATTCGGTTTGTTCTGCTAGTTGATTTCCTTACTAGTAGATCCGAGCAGTAGTATTTGGGAAGAACGAAGAACTCACAATCTCACGTTGTTTATTTAACTCAATTTTTTGTGTCTTTTTGCTATGGTTTTGAGAAGACGATCGGTTATGTATGCGATATCCAAAAACTGATCGGATGGTTCTCAGGACAGTTCGAATCCTCGGTCACACTGATTATAGCGGGATATAAATCGTATTTCATTTTCCATTTTCTTTAAAATTATAAGAAAGTCAGATATCTATTTCAGAATGAATCAGCGGAATTGGCGAATATAGGTCTTGGTCAATTTGCACGTCCAGCCCTCCCTCCAACTCGTTCACCTATTGCCAAAAGAGACTGATTATTGGGGAAAAGTTCCATTTGCGGCAGTCTTATTTTTTTCTTTTTCATGCGTAAACTGATTTATTCATCTATAAATATATTTGATTATTATAAATAATTTTTACTGCTCAAAATTCGTTAAAATTCTAAACTCCATGAGAAATGTGTATTCCTATCATTCATATTGTATTTCGAAAATCAGAGATTTAGATCATTTCAGTCGTTTTGGATTTCGCCTGGCTTCTTCGGACTGTGAGCTAATGTCTTTCACTTTAGATCTGCTGCATGCTGCATGTTACTCTGGGGAGTTTTTGGTCTTATCTTGATTTTTCCAGACATTGCAAACTTTATTTCACTGTGTTCCATGACGCATTTCCAGCATTAGGAATCCGACAGCCATTATTTTTTGCCATTTGACGTAAATGCACATGCGAAACCTCATAATACCCAGTTTTTCCCGTAAAACTCCACACTCTCTCTCCTGTTAGTGGCGAATGGGTATTGTTGTGCGGTGCTTGAGGTTCGTCCTTAAAAATGAATGGTTCCATTCTCAGGATTACTTTGATCTATGTTTGATTCCATAATTTACTGATTACACAGACTTGTTTTGATGAAGTTTAGAAAGAATATGTAAAACACACAAGGTTATTTGATTGAGTTGTTTCATTCAGTCGGTCAGTGTCTCATGTAACTTACTAAGACGCGACAGGAGATATATGTTCATATGTAAATTACTTCTAATCGTGTGACTGTGTATGATTTCTTGTGGAAAAAACATTTGTCACTATCGACATTATCATTTATTCTTATATCCTTTTGTTCCGTGTATAACTTTCATTTACATAGCGATGTTCATACTGTAACGTCTGGTCCTCGCTTCTCATTTTCATTTCTGCTCAATTTTGTGCAAGCAAACCGGTTCTCTATATGTGGGAAGATAAGCCAGTCTGCTTTCACTCTTTCTCCTTTCCAACACTGTGTTTACTTATTTTTTGACTTTACAAAAGCGATATTTAATTCGCACAAGTACAGGTGAATTTTGTTTTCTGTTTCATTGCCACAGTTACAGTTAGTTGTATAGTTGATCTCTCCAGTGAACATTGAATTCTTCCCTTTTGATCTCATGTGGATTGACTAGAGAAAGAACTCCCCGACTTGGATCAAATAGGGTTTAGAATCAGGAGAAAGGAAAATAATTTATGGTTGATAACAGTTATGCATAAATGCCAGCGTTTCGTTCAATTTATGTATTAGTGGAAATTTCAATATCAATTAAAAAAAATGATATGTCAAAAAAAGAACAGTGATTAACTGTTTCTGTTGAAGCGAGTGGAGAGTTGAGCTGCATTTTACAAACGGTCCCTCAACAGTCGTTCTTCGAATCTACCTGTCTGAAGTTCCGGTTGTTCATATCTTCTCTTCCAACAAATGACATTTTGTTTTACCTCCCGCAGCTCTAACTGCGGCGATTCAGGGACATCAGATGCTTGAAATTACATGCAAGGAGGAAGTTTGCAAGTGGCATGCCACCTACTTCGATGAATGAAATCTGAAGCCGTTTTTTCAGCTGTGGACAGAAGAAACCTGGCTTGCACCTTTCGGAAAGAACTTATGCCCACCCAGCGGTCGAGCTATGCGTTGTCATCGAAACAAAACCTAGAACTAAGCTGATCAACTCTATACGATACACGGGCTGCCATTTTTTGTCAAGTCATTGGGATAGTTTATGGATCGATTTTGATGGTAGTAGTGAATACAAAATTGATAGATCTAAAAGGAGTTAAGCTCAAGTACCTGATATTTAAATAAAGACAACGCGTTAATCGTAAGCACACTTAGGTAGGTATATTACAGAAAATACGAACTGGTCAAGAGTTTTAGATTTGTAAGATTTCTTGCCAAGAAAAGAAAAAAAAGCAGATCTCCGCAACATGCTACATATAACAAAGACCTCAGTTGACAGGATTAAAATTCTCGAAATACCTATATTTGTTTAAACGTAGTTGGCGACAGCGGACATAACTTAAAATTCAAAAATGAGTTAAAGCATTACAGATAAAACTGAATAGCATCACTTGTTTTGCTCATCAGGGACAATTATGTTTGGGTCGAAAAAGCTAGCCAGATCAAGGAAATACCATAGTTCAGGAGGGATTTCGAGTGCTGTCTTCATATCGTCGCATTCATCTTTGACAATCCATGTATCCCACTGCGTATTTCCCTCATTCTCCAATGATGACACAACCTCTTCCTAAAAATTTAAATATTTAGCTCAATTTTAATATTACTTGAAGCAAAAGTTCGTACTGCTTTACTGAAAATGTAGTGAATTCTGATTCGATTTCCAATCAAATTTCGATTTCGTTTCCATTCATAAACAAGAAATTTCCTTCCCATATATCCTTTCAAAAATTCTTTTGTCTCCCGTGACAAATAAAAGATGCGAAGATTGGTACGCATAATGCGCATGAAAATTTCTGGGAGATAATGCGCTCTGCTAAAAACTGATAGTGGAATATCTAGCTTCGCGAACACCAGCTGCTTAATCAAACGATGATCCATGGGTGCGAGCATACACTCCGGTGGTACATCAGTACTCCTATAATTGACAGTGAACTAAATTTTTGATAATATCTATTATACAATGGGGAAAGAAAAAAAAAAAAGGAACACTGGCAATTATGGCTTGACAGTCGCCTGCCGAAAATTTCACTTAATTTCCAGAACTGTCTTTACCAATTGATAAACTTCGTGGTGATGGAAAAACGCATACTTTTTTTGAGCAAAAACACCCCTACGATTGCGAAGAAATCGATAATCCTTCCAGTAATCCACTTCAAATTCGTTCCGCTCATTTGAATTGGTACCAAATATACCTCTTAAAATAATTTTTCTTGACTTGGATTAAAGATACACAATGATACATTGTTTCAAAGGATAGGATTCAAAAGGAACTTACGTGATAGTGAATGGTCCTTGGGGATTTTTCAGATCCACACTTTCACATTTCTTAATTAATAGTTCTTCATCAGATCCTTTTTCCGAATCAAACATTGTCTCCTCGCTACTTGATCCAATTCCAGAATAGTATTCATCTTTCACAATTTTCCCGCTAACAGTTAATTCTAAAGTGAAATTAAATTTTCTCGCAAATACTTTACTAGACTGGTCAAAAGTCTGGCTAGGAACCGAAACAAACTCCAGAGAAAAACAGTCCTGTTTTAGTCATACAACCACTACTAAATATTTTTTAAAATTTATTATCAATAATCCTAAAGAACAATATTATTCAAACATCAAAAGATCCATACAAATCAGTGCTCCTCTCATCTCTAAAGGAATTAAAGCACAACTGTTTACTGCATATTCATTTAAGATTTCGAATAAACATAAAAGTATGGAGAATGAGATGAACAAACCGTCATCTGCAAACTCCGGAATTTGTTTAAGAAGCTCAACTATTTCGCCATCAAGTTGTGCATCAGACATATCCACTGAAAGATCCAACGCATCTTGTTCTTCTAACCAAGGAATCAGTACCGCTTCTTTCTGCTCATCCTACAATTGTGATGACTATTTACAGACAACACAATAAGGTCACCGACAATATGTAAAGTTGAACACATCGTCATTATGAATAAACTGATGAAAAGAACAATTAGCTTTTCGTGTAAATCAGCCGACTGATTCCTTCAGAGTCAGTTAATATATTGTATTTCGGTAAAAAATCCAGCAATTAATATCAAATTTTATCATATTCATCAAAAAATCACCGTTTTTAGATCATATGGTTTGTAATAGCGCTTTTTTACGACATATTCGACATCCAATAATGAATCGATTTCTGGGACCTCAAATAAAAAACACATTATTGTTTACTTAAAATTTGGCTAATCTCGTAAAAAAAAACAAGGTGGAAACATGATTTTTCAGAAAGTAGCCAGAAAATTCAGGAAGCACTTTCAAATTTTCAAAAAACTGCATATAAACACTTTAAAAGCTTCGTTGATGAAATCACTGTAATCGCCATCATGTTGTTCATTTTCTTTCACTTGTACTTTCACAAACTTTCGTGCTCTCGTCTCGCTCAATACAGTGGGTGCAGGAATACTGCTCAAACGCACACTTGACGAACGGTTGCTTAAATGCGAATTGGAAAGTATGTGTGGATTTGGAGCCATGTGTTCCTCTCGACGAATCAAACCCTGAAGTCACTTTTTTTTCACGACAGGGCCAAAATCAATCAACCTCCCGTTTACCAATAATGCATTTGCACACGAATCACTCCTAAAGTAACACCTGTAGCTGCCTAATATTCAAACCAGATGCTTCACTGAAAGCAGCAACTTCGCGTGCAACCGCATCGGCCACAGAATCAGAGCCCAGAAAAAGGGTACTGCCCAGTGCACTCAGAACCTGCATAGGACACGTATGTATGCCAAACAAACATGAATGAAAACAACAAAAATCAGAATTTTCTGCGATTACGTATAATATATACAGAAACATACATGCAATAATTTCTTGAATCTTCTAAATATCTAACCTGACCACTCTGCGAACCCATTCCTGGTGGAGGAATGATGTTTCCATTCTAAAAACGTAGAAATTATAACGACTAGAATTGAGACAAACGTTGGAGAATCAAGGTTTCTCTAGAGATGCAGCACAACACATCGTGTCTCTCAGCAATACGTCTTTACGCCTGATAAAAGAGGGAATAGGTCTCTTGTAAGAAGCATATGTCAGTTTGTTGAGTAGTTCTCTTGAGTCATTTTAACTACTCGAATACTGCCTATTGTCGGTCAACATGCGCTAGCATTCTTTTAGTTTCAATCTTTTAAGATACGCATCACTCTTCCATACTGTTTAATTTTTCTCATTCACATTTGCGAGGCAGATGTAGGAAAAGCCTTTGCGAAAAAGGTGAAAATATGTTGAATATGGATAACAAGAAAACAAGGAATCACTGAAGTTTCGGTCTGATCATTAATTACGCAGACAACCGATCAGTGTGGACTATCATAGAAAATGATCAGTAATGCTTCTGAGAAAATTCGAGTCTGAAGTTAATACGACACCGATCATTAAAGGCTTTAGTAAGAAACATAAGAAACGAACCAAATAAACAGGACTACTGGTTTGTGTGATGACATCATGAGCTAAAGGCGGTCGACTACTCTGAGTATGACGTGAATCCAGTCTTCGTAACGCTTCTATTGCACGGTTTAAAGCAACTTCACCACGTGAAATCATTGATCGATCGGGCATTACGAGCGATGTATCCAACGTCTTAAAGAATTTTACGAATTTATATGGTAAAATAATACATTTATTTGCTTGGAAGGACACTGGAAGAGAAAAAAAAACACTGCACTCAATTATACAAAAAAGTGTAAAAGACATTCGTATGCCTATGAATCAAAGCAGTTGTGTTCTTGTGTTCATTTTGCATGAAACATAGATACTCAAGAAAAAAAAATGATAAAGCGAATGAATACACCTCATGTGTAACATCAATATTTGCTCGATTTACACGTGTCGCTGATTCTGTACGATGTTCACTAAACCGTGACGACCACCAATCACTGAAGTCAGCCGCAGGGTCACATGACTGCTGCTGTGTGATGCTTTGGTTAAGCTGCTTATAAGTCCACCGTAAAGACCGACCGATTCTCATAATTAAACGAAGCGGTGGAATTTCATCGTCAGTTCCGTAATCATCATCATCAAAGCTTAATGCATTTAACTGCTTCGCTTCGTCGTCGTTTGTCGGTCTTACTCTTTCAATTTTCAACATAGGCAAACACGATGGTTTAGCCAGAGCTGTAAACAAAGTACAATACTTGAACGATTTTTTGGATTCATTGTTACCGCTCCGTTCCAACTGTCTTTCTAGCTCCTCAATACTTTCGACTAAAGCTTCCTGCGAGCTACTCTCTGCAGCGTATCCACCACCGCTAACGTCTATAAGAACATGTGCGTCAGTACTCGAAGCTGGTGCATCTACCGCATCGAAATTTGATAAATTCGCTGCATTTGCGTTGTAGTTTCTAGCAGAACATGCAGCAACTCTTGCTGGAGTGGCTTCAGTTGCATTTGGAACTTCAACACTTTCCAGCCTTCTGAAACCGGGAGGCGCACCAAATAATGCGTCATTTCTTGACTGATCTCGCTCACGCACCAAGAAACGTCTAGCATAGCCCATTGTTCGACTACTATTTTCACCAGAAGCTCTTTGATTTCGTTGCACGCCATGGCCTGGAAAAAATGTACACAGGCTTGATACAATTATAGTCACCGCTATAACAGATACCACTGTTAAACAAAACATTATCCAAAGATGAGTAGAAAGAATAGTGCATTTCCAAACATATATATGTTTACACTCACTTGGTACAGTTGGACGTGAGTACGCAGTAAGAGGATACTGGAGGGTTCGAATCGTCGCACTACTATCAGTAAGAAGTTCTGACTGAGGTTCATACGGTGATGGTGGAGCTTCTATAATGGAATTAGCCGGCAAAGAATTGTTCCCAGTATGTCCGAGACCCGTAGAATCTCTCGTTGAACGAGCAGGTTGCTAGAACGGAATTTTCAAGTCTCTTATATTAGAAGGATAAACAGAGTCTACAAAATCTTAGTGATAGGAAAAAAAACAGATGAAAACTTACGAAAACTCTTGAAGATAGACGAGTGGAGGAAAAGCCGCCAGACTGTATACTCGAACGACTGGAGAAGCCCGATGATAAACCAGCAGAAGCTTGTACAGCGGAGTGGCCAGATGAAAGTCCTGCAGGTGGTTGGCCACTCACACGTCTCGGTGAAAAGCCTGGTTGCTGTGTAGTATCACCAGTTTCTCGTGCTGAAAAACTGTAATCAACAACTGACTCAAAAAAGAAATAGTCAAAAGCGAAAGGTCAAATTAATTTTGGAAGACAAACCGATGCATACTTAGATAAATAAGTGTGTAGTGAACATGAAGTGCAGTCATAAAAACTGATAGATTAATACAATTAAACATTTCTAAACTGTGATAAATGATATAACATTTGAACACTTCCACTACAAAAAATATTAGTACAATACCCCTATAACGCATGTTCTCCCTAAATTCTTCTGTCCTCTCTTTCACATAATTTATCATCCTTCCTTTCATGAAACCTGCCACTCAGAATGAACATACACTGATTTATCTCCGCTGCAGTACTATCAGGAGGTCTACGGCGAATGCGTGAAACCGTCTCAATTCTTAGTGGCCCATCTCGTTGGTTGCTGGTATTACGACGAGTCCCATCTGCGGCCGAATCTTCGACATCAGAATCATTGCTGACCAAAGGTACATTATGTACAATTACACGCCTCAGTTCGCGATCACGTAGGAATTCGGACAACACATTTGCAGTATCGGATATTCCATTGTTGCTATACACGATAAAACTTGGAGAAAAACACATGTTAACAAAGAAATGAATATTGGACCATTTGCTGCATATATGAATATAAATTGCGAAGCTAAAATTTGAAGGGTTAACAGAGAGAACCTAATCATTACCTAGTGTTAGAGACATTCACGTATTGTGCCTGCATATGGTGTTCCTGCATGTGTGATACTATATCGGTAAGATGATTAGGCATATAATCACCAAAACCAATACGATAAAAATCAGTAGAAATACAAATTGGACAAGCCTAAAAAATGTATCATGTCTGAAAGATTGAAAAAAGTTAAACAGAAAATCGATGTCAGCAAAATTCAAAGCGACAGTTATCAAAAATTCGTAAAAGATTCAAGATGTTGCATAGAATGCTAGAGTATGAAAAAAAAAAAACCATTTCGTTCCGCTGCGTTGGAGATCGTGGTGAAGTTGAATGTTCATCGATGACATGTGAAACCAGCCGTTCACGTGAAAAACCTTGAAGACCACAAACTGGACAAGTGAAAATCACAACTCGTAAACGATCCCAGCTGTGTGTTTGGTCACCGTGATATGCCAATTCTTAAAATATGATTTAAGGTAAGGTACAACGAACTGACACACCAAGTTGAAAAACGAAAGTTTGCACCACGAATATGAACAAATATTATGATGGTTTCAGAGATATCAGCTATCGTCTAAAGAAATATTCAGAAATATTAACATCGATAAAATATATTCGTATCGAAAATAGACCACCAAAGGTGTTAACTACCGTTTGAAGAAAAAAAGTGCAAATCTAGACTTTAAAGTCGATTCCAAACTTTGATATGTGGTACCCGCCCTAGAACACTGCAAAAGAATTCTTTTTCCTTTCCATCCATAACAACAGGCTGGATAATAACCAACAAAAACGCTACCATAAAAATGATGGGAAAGTAGAAAGTGAAAAAGCGTTGAAACTTCATCAGTGCAGCAACCTGATTATACCAACCCCTCTACGTTACCTATCAGAACTCCATAACCTGGTTTTGAAAGTATCTATGTAGTACCTTCCACACTTATATAAATGACCATAAACTTTTAATCCGCTACAGATCGCAATCTTTTTCTTAAGCTGTACAAAAATACCAAAGTCCTGTTGTGTCATAATGCACTGCATTGGATGAGATGGAGAATGCTCTTCGTTAGTTTCCCGAAAAGTACGATTTTCGGATGATACTTCTGTTGCTCGCTCTTCCATGTAGCATCGAGAGCACAAATCAAAATCATAACACCTAAGACATTTGTAACGATCTCCGGTAAAATTTGGTGCCATACAACCATCGCAGGAGACACCTGAAATGTCAACTTGAGGTAGACACCTTTTAAAATAGAAACATTGACACATCCATAATATAGATTAACAAGCCTTTCTGTTAACGTTATTTCTTGGTATAATCGAAAGAATTCATATATTTTTAAACCAGTTGTTAATAGAACTTCCAAACGCAAAGAAGTTGCATCAGAGTCAAAAGTTTTCCCTTTTTTTTCTCTGCGCAGTACATTAGGTGCATTCGCTTTGTACTTCATCCATTTTTTATTAAAGGAAATGCCAATTTCGTAGATTTATTTACCTATTTGCTGGAAAAACTTGGCCTAGCAGTACATAATATGTAATAGAGAATTGCCACGTATGGTTCATGCTGGTGGTACATTTGCAAGCTAACAGATCTTAAAACTGAGGAAGAAGGGAACCACAAACCTTCATGTACGGAACTCATCCGGTTATACGGACGCCTCACGCTACCAGCAGCAACAGACGCATACGAAGTATGACATAACGAGAATCGAGTCTCCACCCCTCGGCGTCTGAATCGTTTGAGAGAGCGAGGATTTCGTGTGGAGGACATCACTGCCGAGTGCAATAAGGTTTTCCTAGAATATGCAGAGAAATAATTGGAATTCAGATATTATGAATGCCGCACGCCTACATCACTTACATCATTCATGACGTTCAGTTCCGGAGGCAACTGGCTGCAACGGTTTACAAAAACAAAACTGATTTTAAGCTTGAAGCAACTTCGAGTCTCAGTCAAAAATTATGCAAATTAGGAGACGTCAGTTGTGCGAGGTATGAGATATGAAAGCATGAGATATGATAACTTTTGTGATATCGAGTTGATATGGCCATTAAGTCGATTAAGTTGATAAAATTTCCCAAGACATTGGTAGGAGGGACCGAGCAAACAACATATTCAGCTTGCTTCTTGCGACCACCACTGAACCGATAAAACAAGTTATCGGTTTCATTTCTAGTAAGTTATGCACATCTAACTTTCTAACACCATAGTCTATCACCTTCTGAAATAACAAAACAGTAAGTGTACTGTTGTATTCTATTCAAAACCTATTATTCCCACTTCTTTTGGCGTGACTGCTCAGCACGCCTCAACACCTCCAGGAGAACTCTTATCCCATGCAGCCATCAAGCGTCACGTCTGGAACCCAAAGAGCAACAACGGGACGCTTCTTCCCATTCCAGAGTATTTTCCAGTCATTATCCAATTAAGGTAATCATCTTCCATTTATGCGTCATACAAAAAAAATGTGACATCAGCAGTACAGCAATATAATAAAAATTGATTTCAACCACGAAATCTGCTGAAATACAGGTTGAAGATGACTTAAATTCAAATGACTTGTTTCTAACAATTGACAAGTGCGGGCTTCATGAAATAATATCCCTATGGCGCATCCAGAACACGGTGCATTCAAAACTATTTCTGTGAGAAACGTTTTTGTAGTGGCTCATTATTCACGGGGATGCATTCAACAATTTTTAAAACATCAGCAACAGAAAAAAAAAAAACTGGAGAATATTGAACAGCTGACCCCAACAGTGACCCAACTATATTTTGTTGTTTCAGCTGGCCGTATAGGCATCCATTTTAAATTATATTACAATGAGCAGTGATATCATACTAAAATTTCTTTTATTCGTAACAGTTACAGAATTTGCGTAAATGTAAATTCATTAATTTTGTAGTCTATAGAATATTACGATTTAATAAATTTGTGTATCTTGTTTTACTTCCCGCCAAAAATGTTATTATTACGTGTTCTGACATGACGTCAGTCGACTATTTGCTGAGAGTTAAACATTTTATTTTGATTCATATCTCTGAGTTATGTGGACGCATATATTTTATTGTTCATCTCAACCATTCCGAACATTCAATTTTACCCACAAATTTTTAACTTGCCTTGCTTTTTTCACGAAAACCTCTCAGTATGTTTTTTTTTTTAGCCATGAAAATTTTTTCTCCGCAGTCTCATGGGTTCAGCATTATTCAATTACTATAAATCGTCCCTATCACACCATATAAATTACTAGCACGTGCAATTTTTCAGCCAAGGAACTGTAAGTTAACTTTCCTGTTTTTTGATCACTTTATTACCAAAAAAGTCTCAAAAATGATGCATTTGTCGCTGTATCTGTTCAACATTCATGCTGGTCAATCAGCTCATTGCCTAACAAATTATTACTTCATCAAAAATCACAAGAAGTTTCAGGTTTCAGGACTTCAAATTTTCAAAATTCAAGTGAATCATCGGGTACATAGAATTGGTGTTTTTTAAATTTCTCGCGAGGGAGAAATGGAACTAACTAGTTTGCCACATTATCTGCAATAAAATATCTCTAAATTGAGCATCATGTTATGAATCTCTTTATGTCCTTACGACACCACTTCACATTAGCACTTTTCTCCACGATACTTCCTTATCATTTTCTTATTTGTGTTACATATGAATGCAGCATTTATGTGCAACATATTGAGGTAAATTAACATTAAACGAGAATTAAACAACATCAAATAGATTCTAATAATAAAAACCAGAATTTCAAGTCATGTTTAGATTTGATATATCCATAAGAATTGACTCTGTGGTTGATAAATTTTAAGAGGCAAAACGGAAACGATATGCAAGTGTTTGAGATTTGTTTCACGGATAATACTGTAATCAGAGAGATGATTGTCAAGTCTTACTTCTTCCCACTTCAGTAGTGGAATTTGTTCTAGGAAAATAAAACAAAAACAAAGGAAATTAAAATCAAAATCGTAAAAGAATCAGAAGAAATGCATGCTTGAAGCATTAAATTATGTACGGCAAATAAAATAAATACAAAACTAAGCCATTTACTTTCAAAGTCATCTAAGGTTCAATTCCTTAAATCGCCACAAAAGTTGCGTAATTAAAAAACTCCGTGAAAGCAATCTATAAATTCTACCGTCCAAAAAACCGGAAAATTTTAATTCGTTCTGCATTTCATCAACTTGATTTCCGGTTAAGAGCTTTTCCTCGATCCTAAGTTGCATCAGATGAACAGGAAATTAAGTTCTTACAAGTTCGCAATGAAGGAAAATATCAGGTCATAACTTCAGTAAACTGAAGGAAATGACAAGATCGCAAGACGAATTGCTACCAATTTGCAAAAATATTTGGAAAAATGAATGCAACATGTGGGATGGAAAACTTACAAGAACTTTGTGGACGATGATGATGACATTATATGAGGTTCAAAAGAATGTTTTTATTTCGAGGAAATCACTTGAAGTAATGTACTTCGCCTCTCAAAGCGTTCTCTCGAAGTGTTATGTATGTGTCAACTGCAATGCAATCTTTGGAAATATGGTATAAATTCTTTTGGAAATTCAACCAAAATAGAACATCGATGGTAAAATATTATAAAAAATTGATGGTACAAGAAAATCAACAGAATAAAATTCTTTCAAATATAATTTTTGCGAAGTATTAAAATGATCACAGCCTTAAACTTGGTACAGTTTTTCGGCATCAGTTATTGAAAATCGTGACTTATGGAAATTATCCACATTTTCGAACTCTTAACGTTCCTACTTTCATGCCAACAATGTGTAAAGTACAAGCTGAAGTGAAATATCGATAACTGTTAATCAGACTCTGTATACTACACAACCTCCTCTGAAATCATGAACTGAGCTCAAAGTTTCATTCAAAATTTCAACTAAAATTAATCCTTAAGATAAATTATCTGAATAACATGACATGTCCATCTGTCCCATGATTCAGGCAGATGATCATTCATCATAGATTCCTCAGTGTGGAACGCTACAAAATTGGCAGATTTCTATGGTTTTGAAAAAATTTTACAGCAGATTTATAAATGAATAATGAAACAACACATTTATAGCATATGTTATCCGCTCTTCTGTTGCTCGATGGTATAAATCAAGAAAATTCATACACTGTTTGAAGGGTTTCTCGAATCCAATATGATGAGTCATCTGCTTCGCATAACATCACAACTAATGCTTACGGTGAAATTACCGCGAAGAAGCGAAGAGAATAATTGGCATAATTTCAAGCGGGGCATTACCTAAACCAGAAACTGAGACAACTGATCGAACAGGGAAAGGAGGAGCGTTGACCTCAAGCTGGTAGCACAGACTTGTTTAACTCGCTTTCTTACCGAATAAATCCAAAAGCTTCCGGTTACATTTCCTGGATTAGAAATTAAAATGTACTCTATCCATTTGTTAATGAAACCCTAGTAATATGATACGAAATAAAAATTTGTAACTTTCTTTACTTAGCTGATTATTCTGTTACCAACATGATTTTAGGATGGCAATAGCAATCATTTATGAATGACACAATTTAGAATTGTCAAGATTTTCAGAAATTTGATATGGCTGGATCGCCGCCATGACTTGACCCGTAATACCCTGTTCCTTTTCTAATGGTTGAGGATAAACTATACTTATGATCTGAAGCATCTACCACTCACATCGAAACGCATTATTAACAATCCCTCCTAAACTAGAGCAACATCTCTGCAGAATAACAACTGGTGCAATGATCCCATGTGCGGCGATCCAAGTTAATAGTTTACCGCGACCAGTTCTTCTTTGCTACTCTCTTGAAGTGGTAGTTAACGTGGCTGCAGGTGCTTTTAACTTTACATGCTACCTCCATTATGACTATCAAATGAACACAACGTGTTAAGTGGTAATTAGCAAATGAAGTAGGGAAAACTTCCTTCCAACAGACACAATCATTTTGCCAAGGTGTCGTATGTCATTTCTGTCACATCTTGTTTTTGTATCATAAATAATGGAAAACTGCGATGGGCATTACAAGGTTGATATGGGAACACGCGTTACATTACGTCTCTTTATAGTTATAGCGATGTCTGTTTTATCTAACTGATATACCTCAAATTATGTAGATGCTAATCAATAACTAATCCTGATCTGCTTTCTTATTGTACGAAAGCTTGTTGATGTGACGTTGTTGAAGTCATAATATGCTGTCTTAAATTCGTAAACTTAAATGCTCCCTTAAATATGCTCCCATTTCAGACTGAAGTTGGACGATAAGTGGTTTCATTGTTTATCCTGTTCTGTTAAACACAACTCACACATTCAGAAAGGTGCCATGGTGGTAATAGAGGAAATGGTATTATATTTTGCTATTTGGCATCTCATTTACAACCGCGGCATGTCATCTTTCGTCTGTGCCTGTTAATAATTGGTAATGAGTTTTTTACCTTCCCTATACGCGACAGTCATGATTTTCACTGAAAACTTCCAGAAATGGAGAAAAAAGGAGTCTTCAAAGCCTTGCTTTGTACTTCAAAATTATTTCAGAAAGTTCTGGGACAACAAGACTTAACAAAAACTTCAATGGCAAGACCGACCACTCGCCGCAACCGTTTCTTTTGGGAGCTAATCGTTGCTTTTGTGTTGGTTGTCTCCGCTGCTGTTTTTCAAACATTTCATTTCTTCAACAATGCATGGTTGGTGCAGACGAATGGTTCATATATCTATCAGGTTTTTACATATTTTGTCATTGTTTGTACTGGTCCGTTCGAAATATTTGAATTCCATTGCCGATCCTAATAGTGATTAACAATGCTTTGTAGCTAAAATTTAAATCTTTACGGCACTCTTCAATGTATGATATATAATATACAATATATGAAGGATAATGTAATTCGTGGCATTCATTTTACATTGCAGTACGTTGAACTGAAATGTAAGTACCTTTACGTTTCAAAATTAAGTACTTTACACTGCACTGGGTAACCGAAAAAATGGAAAAGAGCATACAGTTGAAGAACTATCGCATAAAATTGTATTAGTAAATATAAATAAATTGAAGTCGTATACTCGTCCAGTTTTCTTTTAGTACAGATTCTTCCTTTTTCAGCGTGGTTTAGGAGACGACTGTGTGAAAAATAATGAATTTTTGAATGGAATTAGATGCACAGGTTGGTTGGATGGTGAATATAATACCTTCGTTACCAATGGTCAGGATATTACTACCTTGGATGTTGTTCCACCTTCCATAGGTAATTCCTGTACCATATGCATTGCTTCAAGGCCTCATTCGTATTCCTTCATAAGTCCAATTTTTTAATCAAATTCAGTGTGTACTTTACCAAACACTTTTCTGTTTTAATGTTATTCTTACTCAGTTTCAGGACTGAGGTTGGCACGCGTTCTCATGATTTTCAGCGTTTTATTATATTTAGTCGTTATTTTCTCTTTGTTTTTCACTTGTGTGGAACGCGATCTCAAAGTGCAGAAACTCTTATGTGGTGTGACTATATCGCTAGGTAATTTAGTGGGCGTGTTCTCGCTTCACTTCACTTTCTGTATGTGTTTACTGTGCTTACTGGTGTTATTTTTAAAATAACGTTCTCGACATTTTTTCACAAATAGTTATCTTTCAGTTTCCATCAATTTGCTCATTATATTCCTCGTTTTGGTTAATAGCTCAGAACCGTTTATCAAAACCATGAAATACGTAAGTTCCTTATTTTTTCTCAACATAAGTTTTTTTTTTTAGATTTCTACACTGTCATATTCTTTTCATTTTTGAGCTTCCAGTTTATTTCAGTGTTCGCTAGGTAGTGCATTTTACTACTTTCTCTTCTCGTATTTGTTGCTGTGGATTGGAAGCGCAGTACACTTTGATTCTTGGATCGACGTTTACAATGATATGCACACGAACGATCTGCCGATGAGACTGCTAGGTTACACTCGGAGGAACGGAACTTCATAGGACGGAAGCCTTTGTTTCTTATTTTATATGACCCGTAGTATAATTTATTCTCCAAAATTTCATTATAAATAATAAAATTATTTGCTTTACAAGGATAACGAATTATGAAAAGCATTCCTAATGTCTAAACATGTTCAGCCAAGAAATATCCAGTGCACCATGAGAATAACAATCATTATGTTAATTCCAAATGATATCCTTAAACTTGTCAAAAAGCATTTTCTGGGGAATCCGAGCCATTCGATCAAGTAAAATCCTTTGTATAGAGCATTTATTTAGGTCGAAGGGATGTCTTGTTAATTTGTTATCATATGAGCTTGCCTACGAAACTACTTTGGCGAACAGAATTCCAGTGCAGTATCTGTTGTAACGTGTGCAGGTCTATCGTTGTTTGCTATATAAATGTATTAATGGCAGATGTTCAGTCATCTAGTCCTCCAAGTAAGGTGTTTCTGGCTGTTGTCAATCTCTGATATTCGTAGTGTTAATTAACATGGCGAGAATAGCCGAATCATTCCTTTTCCTATGTGTAATTCTTACCGATCTTATTTAATCAGTAGATCGATTTCGATCTCTTAATGATGCTATTTGGATATCGCACACTCTGAGGAGAAAGCACCCAGGAATAAGATCATGGTGATAGGTTAAGAGTCGAAAACGTGAGGGTGGAAGAGGGAGGTGGTGGCTGAATTTCGGGGCATCAGTTTTTCAGAAACATCGGGAACGATAAATGAAAGATTGAGTAATCAAGGTAATGGACTAAAGTGTTACTGGTTGTCTGTACGAGGTCATGTGACCAATAAAGAATTGAGGACAGTACTATGCAACAAATAAAAAAAAACCGTATTATTGATAATAACCACAAGATTAACCGTATAATGCACAAGGACAAGTGATCAAATGGGGTGAACCATGTCTAACGGAGGAAAATAATGTCTCTAGGTTAATGAAATGTGTTGCGCGTCAAATATATTATGAAATATTAAGTGCATTGAATTCTAAAGTGCATAAGGACTGAACTGAAATCACTTTATGGGCGCAGATAGGATTTAGTTTATTATGGGAGCGGGAGCGAATTCAGGATGTGGATCCCAGGACTATGTATTGGTCTCACTAGATTTATTCGTGATATCAAAATGAACCGAGTAAATGTACCTCTCAGTATATGTTGTGAATATGTAAAGCGTAGGCTAATACAGCTATTTCAACCCATCTCCCTGCAAAAAAAAAAGAAAAAAGTGGAGTGCATTGACAAATCAAATTACCAAACTGAAGAGAAAAAAGAGATGTATGTTCCAAATATGGACCACAACATGGAGAAGTGCAATCCATTTGAAAAATAACCAGTGAAACTAAAAACGCTGTTTAATGAATTATGCTGTAATTCACAAAAATATGCACCTGATAAGCGATGCATTTATGTAGCAAGTAGCCATTTTTCTGTCACGGTAGTTATGAAGGACGAAAAGATCTGTTTTTGAAATCGTAGTCGACATAAAATTTTCCGAAGAATTTGAAATACTTTTGAAACAAAGTGTGATAATGAAATGAAGATGGTACACATCTCCGAAGCATATGTTGTCTCCTGTTTCACTCTATATAAAAAAGCATGTGCCGTGCTTACCGGCATTGCAAAATATGTTCAAGAGTTTTGCACTTGGGAAAGTTCCTGTGTTGAGAATATTTTTCGTTGAATGCTTCTGAATAAATTGCAACATATCACTGTCTAAACCAGAATTATAAAAGTACATGGAAGCTATCGGAACGAAAGTCGTGAGGAAGTCCAAAGCAGAGATTTGTAACCTTTTCTAAACAATGAAAACATGCAGCTCAGATGTTAGATTTCAGGAACCTGAATAAAGCGTTGTTCAAAATTACAAGAATCAGAGATATGAAACAGAAAATTCTTCCCATGAACAATGTTAAAAAATTATGTAAGGATACTGACTTAACAATCTGTATTAGTATGAATTATTCAAAATGACACTTTGTGAAAACACGCTACAATAGATTTTTTCAACTTGTGTCACAGAATATTAGTTCGATCCGCAACCTGACATAAAATACGAGGCGATACTTGTGTCCAAACAAAACATAACCTTGAGTCTTAGAAAGGAAAAATGAAAGGGTAGCTGATATGTGTATTATTGATGCTTGTCGGCGTATTTAAATAAAAATTGTAAGCAGCAAGATTAGGCACATGTGAATTATTGAGACACAGTTCATGATCTCGTATATCGCCCCAACCACCGTTCTCCCTTGGAGGTTTTAATGTTCGCTTCAGATTCTCTGCCAATATCATTTTTTTCGGAAATAACGAGTTCGCTGAACTACTAAAAAGTTCCGCCGCCTAAAAAATTCTGCCTTTTCAACTTTCTGAATTCATCAGTTTTCATAGAAAATTTAGCAAAATTCAGTACTATCTGTAATTGAATGATAAACAAACCACTGCAGCAGTATTATGAACAGCACAACGATGAGTATGTATGCCACAGTCACCAACATGTATAACACGAGGAGCTTTAACAGCAATGACCTTCAATCTTGACGGCAAGCATTTCATGCTAACGCGTAACAGCGACCAATCCCAATTGTAGTCATCGTACTTACAAAACAACTAAAAGCGTAAGGAACTTTAAAGTTAAAAATTGCCATCCCCTCACCAAACAACAGAAGCAGAAACTTACTTCCGTACAATTTTTGATAAGTTCCCACGTATCCGCCTTGATGGCCATTCCCATATTATGTTTTGAACTGAACCAGGGATGAATACCCAACCGATTCAAATTGCTTTTAAAGTTATTGTACTGCTTGAGATATAGTCCAAGGCTTATCACTTGACATTCCGCACAAAAACTAAAGTATTGTAAGCAGTATAGTTCCCAACATAGCACAGCAAAAGCAAGCAAAATAAATTCCATTCAATCAAACAACAGTACATAAAAGGCCTTCTGAATATCAATGCCTGATAAAACTTGAAAGTGTCAATCAGATGTCTATTGACTGATATCTGAAATCCTATATTCTACGAAATTCAGTTTTTAATTGCCAAGATTCTAAATTAGAAAACAAGAAATCACTCACTTCGATTTACTGCCTACAATCAGGCGCATAACATGTAAGAAATCTGGCGAAACGTAGTGATCCTCCTCCAGTAATATTACCCATACCTTTGTCAATGCATATTGTTTCAATATCCCATCGAATACGTAATTCATCTATTATCGAAAATTGATTTTTAAAGAGAATAATATAGATGACCGAGAAACAATCCATATTCTGCCGTTTTTTTTTCTTATCCTTCGTTTGGAAAAAAGTGAACGTAGAGTCAGCGAAGGTCATTATAATCAATTCAACAAGTAAATCCTAACAATCAGATAACTCCAAAGAAAATTCGGAATAAGAAACCTTCCACCACCAATGATGTTTGATTTGTGTCAACTTTGCAACACGAAAATGTCCATATTTATCAGGATTTTTCCAATTATTACATTTCAGCGAAGCTGCCCTAAAGGTTGGAAAAGGATTTGCACTGAAAATCACAAAATTCTTGACAATAATTCCTAACTTGAAAATTCCGCTGATAAAGAAATAGATCAAATGCAATTTACTCTTTCTTAGTTGCTTTTTCTGGACAATCCAAAGGGTCCAGTCCAGGAAAAACATCTGGAAACAACTGAATACTGTATGGGTAAAAAATCTGCATAACCTGAAACAGAAAATTATCACAGCTATCCTGGAGCTTTCAGGCAGTGAAGTTGCTGATTTAAAATCTTTTTAATGACTGAAGAATTTAAATTTCATCGACTCTGACACAAACATAAATTTTTTCAATTTTGAATTTCGAACTGTAACTGATAGAAGATGCTGCTTTTTCCTGCGACTATTCCAGTTGCCTTTTGTAGTAAATAACATACTAAACAGAAATCTATCCCTCTAATCAATTTGTTTATCACTGCAGACGAATAATCGTGACTAAAAATCAGCAACGCAGTTTCAATGTACCGGGCAGCTCTGAGAGTAGAAATCAACTCTTTCAAATATTCGATACGATCATGGACCTGAAGAACTTCCTCGCAGCATTTGTCACACATAATTGCAATTTGAAAAAGCATCCTTCAGAACTACAAACGGGAAAAACTTCTGTTACATGTAATGATAACAAGATTTTCATACGATTTAAAATTTTAGAGCAGTACAAAATAGATAACGCGAACTACACTCTACCATAAATATGAGATTTTAAAGAAACTTACCTGAACAACAAGTACAATTTCCACATTTTGCAAGTGACCGTACTTATCCGTATTCAGAATTTCATAGTTCGCATTAAGAAATTCAATTGAACGGACAATTTCTTCTTTGCTTAAAGGTAAAGGTGTAGTTCGAAACGTCCAATCCAATTCAAGTTCTTGCTGCAACAAAAACAAAAAAAAAGTGTATTTAAAACTTAATATTTTAATCTTGAAAAGAAATATCACAAGTTGTTTCGAAATTGCAGCTACAATTGTTAAGAACGGTGTCCAGCAGACGTTATTAACTCTGGATATATATATATATATATATTGATCACTAAATCGGACATCTTCAGTTGGACTACCCCTATATATGGTTAAATTAAACTCAAACAAACGAAAAACGCAGACGGTCCATTCACCATTAACAATCCGATATTTTTACATAATTAGATTTTAAATTCAATCTAAGTACGGGACGAAAATATAAAACGTTTGCAGCAAACCTTACATCATTTCGTTCGGGGACTAATAATAATTCTTTTTCTGGAGCATCGTACTGTGAGCGTTCAGAGTTTCCATTAGCACTTAGATATGGACTTTGTAAATAGACCATCAAAAACCCTACCTAGAAAAAAGCCTTCAGTATCAATTATACGTAAAAAATGGTAATTTTTTTAACCAATGTACGAAATTACTCAGTTACATTATATTAGAGACATCAAAGTGACCTCATTTGGTGAGTTCATCACAAAACCATAATTATGACTTACAAGAAGCTAAAATATTCAAGTGATATGTAACGAAAAATAAATAGATACTAACGCGATGGAAGCTCAGCATTATATAGACGACATTCCAAAGACATAAGTGTAAAAGTGGGCAATTATTCAGCTAAACAGGAAGAGGAAATAACAGGAAAGTAAATGGAGTTGTCAAAAGAAAAAAACTTCACGTTACAAAAACTGTTATTACTATAATTAAGTACATCCTTTGTGCCATTTTGGTTTTGACAAAGCTATTTCGATCTTAAACCTTAAGACTGGAAGGATGAGTCAATTCCCTCAGTTATTCTCACTTAGATTCAGCTACCACTATCATCATACAAAGGAAAGTTGGTAATTACTATCACTATGCATTATATCTTGATTACAACTGTCTATGCTAACATTATGTATTCAATGTTTTGGGAAGTTAAAACAAATAAATCTATAATTCCAAAGGAAAAGTAATCATAAAACTTACAAACGAAATGAAGATAACTGCATTTAAACAACGCACGAGTCTGTAACGGACCATCTAAGAAAACATCACGAAGCCTATAACATAGAAGACTTTGTCACCTTTTTTACATTATTTTCCAGTTATCAAAGTTTATGATTTCAGATGAGAATCAGCTGCAACCAGTATCGCATTATTTCTGTGAGTCCTTTGTTTTCATATGGATAAATAACGATGAAGTACGCATGACGACCAAAATACATCTCTTATCTTTCTAGCGTTTTTAATAACAAAATGGGCAAACATCGTCGCATCAAATCCATTTCTTTACATTCTAGATCTAGATATAGCAACTGCTATATCTTATCACATGAAAAACGGACCGTTAAATAAGGAGTTAATAGCGCCAAAAAATCCAAACATGAATTTGTAAGTTAGGGTACAATAGAGCTGCACTGTTCTTCAATTCTAACTAGAATTTTTAACTTCGTAGATTTATAATTTATTAATAAAGTTTTGTAGAGCAGCTTGTAGTATTTCAACATTTACTGTAAACTGTGGGCAATATTCTCAAATAGCAAATAACAGCCGAAAGTGAAGAAAAGGCAAGTAGCATTAGAAGAGGCAAGATCTATATGTGCAATATTATTCAATGATGCCGATAGAGAAATAGAGAACGGAAGTATAGAATGATTGTAACTAAGTTGAAGATATCCAAATCTCACCGACGTTCATCTTTTAAAAGTATGATGCACAAGATGAAATAAATCCAACGAAGAATTCCGTTAAGTGAAACGGAAAACCAAAGGTAAAATGAAAAGTCTGTTCCGAAAGATATCGTTATCTAATCACCTATTATATTCAAAGGCCTCGTTACCATTACAACATTGGTGATGCAGCCTTCTGCAGTCGATAATCTAGAATTCTATGTAACCATGTAAACTAGAACCTCAGCCCACTGCAAAGCTGGCCGCATCTCAAAAGAAATATTGTATCATAATCCTGAATCTCCTCTACTAAAACAACCATAATAAACTCAAGAAGTTAACAATACGAATATTAGACAAAAATGTATTCTCATTTCCTAATTTTCATCTTTCTCTATCTAAAATGAAGATGGCGAAGAAAAAATTGCATATCTTAGATGATATAGCCATCACTTAAAAGTTATTTACATAGTCATTTGATCTAGTGCTTTATCCATTATGTTATGCATTAAGTTCTGTAACTGATAAGCAGCAGTAAGATGAGATTAGAAAAAAACAATGACTTTCTGAACTGTATAATGGCTAAGACATTAATCTCACGACCTTGAGTAGGTGGGGAAAATTTTTGCTAAATGATGGCCACAAACGCTATAATAATGCATTTTTAAAAAGTAACATGGATAAAACGTTAACGAATTGCCAAAATTTCATGCAAGTTATGCCAATATAATTTCACAACGGACAAAGTTACTCATTTTATAGACTTAAATGGCATTTTCATCGCTTCTGAAACTTCGGCCGACAAATTTCTTTCAGCGATACAAGCTACGCCGGCTCTTTCATAAACATTTTCAATACCAATGTCCGAAATGTCCAGAGAAGGTAAGTCCTAAACAGATATATTAACTACAACATTGACGTTTCAAAATTTGCAAAAACTATTTCCAGTTCAGTAAATTTGAATTTTATCAGTAACATACAGGTTCTTGCTCCTTTAGATTTTTGTAATCTTTCAGCATCCTTTTGACATCATCCATGTAAACTGGTTGATGCAGATCATAATCTGAAAGGAGGCAGTTTGGGAATCAACTACTGCGAACACACTGTTTCAGCATTTCAAATCTCCAACAAAGTTCGAGTCACGAATAGAAGCAAAACACAGAATTGAATGACAAGGTATTTTTTGAGTATTACGGAACATGAAATGGAGAAATTCAAGTTTCGGAGAATGAAATTAATAATCATAATTACACGAGAAAATAAACCAAATCTGTAAAAAAATTTCTCAAATGATGATATTTACCAACGAAATCAGGCGAAAAAAGAGTACTCTGTCCAGCACGAGCTATTGGGATCCTATTTAAGTCACCGAATTCTGTAACTGAATGCTGGTTAACTTGATAATATATAAATGAAATCATATTAAAAAAAGTTTTAATTAAGGTGTACTACCTTTAAGCATAAGTACACATAATAGTTTTCATTAAAACTACATGAATACTTTCAAACTGAATTCATACAAGATCTCAACTGACGCAAACAAGTGACGCATGCTGTCATAACGGAAAAAAAAAAGATGGACTTCTTTTAAACTGTAAGACCTGACCAGATCTCTGTGAAGACTGCATACGCTGCAAAGCTGAGAATGATTTTCCCACGCTGCTCAGTGGCAATGGGAAAGTGCTCGATCAAAAACAGTATGTAAAGTCAAAATATCTTCTTTTTCTTAATGGAACCTTACCTTCTTCATCCGAGGAAAAACCTGCTTTTTCTCCAACCTCCTCTCGTACTCGGTCTAATATTCTGCAATTTTATGCAGCTTTAGTAGGGAACAATCAGCGATGGAGGTGCATCATCCTCAAGTAAACTACTTATTATAAATAGAGCTCAACAATCGTTCATCAATGTATGACCATCATAAACAGATGAGTATGTATTATACATCAAATGATTAAACGAATATCAGATAGAAAACTTTATCACCTTTTAAAAAGTTAAATAAATTTATTTTGAAACTTACACTCTCAGCCGAGCTGCAGTACGCCACTTGATTCTTTTTGATATTTTCGATTTACGAAAAAAGCCTGGAGTAAGCACTCTTCTCGCTGGGGTTTCTTCAAACGCATTTGAATTGGTATATTTCACAAATTCCCTCTAAAATTGTTGCATATATGATGGAATAGGATGAAAACGGTAAGACAATGCATGTCAAAAGGTGCAAATCAACAATTTTTTGAATCAGATAAAGACCAAACCTCAACAAAATACAAAAAATACTTGTAATTCCAGTAGTCAAATTAATCCTATGAAATTGAAATCACATGGACATTTTCATCCTCACCAACCGTTGCCTCCTAATTCATCTTTACTTATCAATCTCATCTCACATCGATCTCATCTTGAAATGCAAGGAAAAACACTTAAATTTCGAGAAATAAGAAGTGATTTCAAAACAGTCATATAATAATGGCGTATATAATGGTCGTACAGAACCCTGCGATTGTCACGCAGTTGCACTTGATATGATGGTCTTTCTGGGTTAAACCAACCACCTAAAAATGTCTAGAAAGTTCTAACTGAATGTAAAAATCTATAAAATCAAGATATAATGTAAAAGTGTTACGTACCCACTTATGTTTTAGCAATCAATAAGTAGGAATAGAACTAACCTACTTGGCAAATTTAATCAAATAACACAAGCAGATGAGCCCATAGATGTGTACCTCTTCAGCCAAACTTACAAATTATGGTTATTACGAAGTGACAAAGTAGCTTACATCGAATCTTTGAATGCAGCTTTCCCAACGGGTTTCCGAAATACAAATTTGGATCTGCTGTGAATATAATATTCAGAATTTGTTCTTCATCCTTATCTGACCCTTCATATTTAGGCAAGAAACGCTGAAACATCGTGTTCCGATTATTTATAAATAACGCCATGCTTTATAAAGCACGTACTGGTAAAAACGATGGCATGAAATTATAACCTTCAGATAATTTTGTGTGTCGATGCCAAGACTTCGGAATGCATGCTTGGTTATCACAGCGCGGAACACGGTTTCCTGGAAGAGTATATTGGACGTTACTACAAAGATAACGTATAATTCAAACCACGTATAAATGTTTGAAACATTTAGAAATACTTCACGTTATTTAGAGCAATTAGAACTCATTCAGATTATCTAATCTAGGTATTTAAATCTGATGAGTGCACGCAAACCTGCTCTACAATGACAGTAGGTACTTGAACAATCTCACCACCAAGACACAACCGTGAAAAGTGTAAATGTAATGCATTTGCTCTATTCATCCCCGAACACGTTGGATAATTGCTGGTCCCTGTCCTCAACATCCTTCGGTTACAGTAGAGGCCTGCAACGACATACTGAATTGGAATCCTACGTTTCTTCTTCCCTTCCGCATGTTAATGGACTGATGACGTCTCCAGCAGCAAAGGTCACCCCGTAACATTCACTCCCGCTTTCTCGTCCCATCCAGTAACAATATTCAGCGGATGGTTGTAATTGTTGTTAGCATTACGAATGGATTCCACTTAGAAATGTTTGGAGGGCGCTTTACGATGACTTCCATGCATTCATCATGTGTTTCAAATTTTTTCATAACAAAGATTTCCAGCTTATATTGTAGTAGGCATGCATATTCTTATCCTAGGGATAATGCACCGGCCTCTTTTTTTTTTATTTTACAGTGAAGTGAGAAAGCAAGCAGTCTGCTCAAAGGTTTTTAAAAGCGACTTCTACTCCTCTATGATGTTTTCTTGCATGATTTTTGGAGAAAAACGATCTGATGTTTACTGCCTCCAGCTCATCTACTTTAACCTTATATTTTCGAGATTATAAAAACCATGACATCATCGTTTGGTATGGAGAAACGGTGGGTAACAGATTTGGAAAATCAGAATATCGATGGTTCTAGAAGATTGCGACATCTGTTAATGACATGTGTGGATCCTATCGAAACGATCAAAAATTTCCAGGAACGAAATAGTATTAAGGTATATGTTAGATCTTACACCATTCTAATACAGTGCTTTATTGCAAGAGTAATTTATCGTTCTGAAGGCTGTTAGTATGAACTCATAGATGCATGAAATTGGAATAATTACAGCCATCGTCAGTGTTTTTGTGCTGTATATGGCAAGCCTTTTAACTGGATTTCACAGTAATTCATTTCATCTGACGCTAAATATTATAGTGGTAGTTACGAAGTATTTCCAGCTCGGTACTGTTGAAATATTCTTTCTGACAGTTCATGCTACTTCTCTGAAGAGACGTCGTGGTTCTTTGTTATTACATTATAGCCTACCTGCAAAACTTGTCATCACCATTCTTGTTGCGTAGACCTACAGTTTGTTTACAGAGTTTTCTGAATTCTGAATTACTGATATCAGTTTACAGCAATTCTTTTCAGCTGCCGGCATTAAATCCTGCATTACGACTGCTCGATTTACACAATATTCGCAGAACAGAGTTCCATGAAGAAGTACATTGTTTTATGTTTCGAAGTTGGCACTAGTGGTTTGCATGCGTTTAACTGATACATATTTCATTCTCTTTCTGCTGGATGTTTCAGGCAGCGAATGATATATCGGATTTGCTGCTTGCAAAAATCAAGGATCTAGGTGCAACAGGGACTGTAGAATCAGTCCAGTTATTAGAAAAACAGCTGGAAAAGAGTTTCAAACTGTATCGAGTTCCTAGCATTCGACCTTTTGTGTTAGAAACGCTGAAGCAACTACCAAAAGCTCCGGATCGGTAGGTATCAATTATTAACACTTTTAGTATTAAAAAAATTGTTAGAAATGAAAAGAGTGTAGTACGAAAGGTAGTATTGGAGCTTCGTCATTCACCTCTTACTGCGTTTATCTGTTAATCTTATATTAGTAAGGTACATTGTATTAGCCTCATCTGTTAGCTCTAGATGTGAAGAAAAGAAAAAAACATTCGAAGAGTGAATCTGGCAGAAACCAAATTGCAAATGATTTGCTGAAGTCACTCAGTAGATCCTAAAAGCTTTTTCTCTCGCATTCCATTGTCCTTTGTTGTCCTCTAGAAGAATCGTTGAGCTGTGTTTCCGATGTGCATGCAACTTTTTGCTGACAACTTTAAGTTTGCTATCCCAAATAAGACCCCCCAAATTATATTTTTTGCTAATGATGAGGTTGACGATATCAATAGATCGGTCGCATTTCCTTGATCGAACTACATGTAGTCATTTAAAAAAAATTCTGCAGAAAGTTTGTCCTTACTTTACAAATTTTTGCTGAATATAACACATGTTTTTAAACAAGCTCCCATGGGTAATGTGGGTAATGTAATTTTCGAATGTTGTTTTGCTTGAAATTTTTTTTTCGAGTTTTATTTTGCTCAAGAAATTTTTTGTTGCATTTTGAGTGATTGAATTTTAATCAGATACCTAAAAGTGATTGTGACCGATCGGGAATTTTACGACAGTTGTGCGGTCACAGTACGACAACAGATTTGGTTGAAGAACGATTCATTGTACATGGATGCAATACTTCCAGTTATAGATTCTTATATTGATGAAAAACAGAAAGTTATGCAGACAGTGGACCAGTCACCAACGAACTATTTTACATGTGAGACAACCAAATCCAGACGACAATGGCCTCAAATTTTAGGTAAATGATATCGTCTTTTTTTTTTTATTTTCAATAATGAAACATGAGCTCAACAGTTTCATCCTAAAACTAGTCAGCCTTTCAGCAGTGTAATTTATAGAGCTAATGGCAATGGTTGGTCAGCAGGAACCGTTATATCGGCGGTTGAACAACGTTATCCGTGAGCGTTTCTTGAAATCTGCTGATGCAACATACTGTTCATTGCGCATGGAGCTTGTGATGTCTGCTCATGATTTAAATATTGAACCTGTAATCCGATCAGGTTATGTACCATGATATTTAGGCTGAAAAGTGGTTGCGGAGAACACTGTTCGAAATTTTTTTTATTTTCATTTTTAGATCCATGTCATGATTTAGCATGGTGTCTAGATGCATGTGTCAGAGACAAACATTTGGATGCGCAACAGACGAATAAACTGAAAAATATATTGGAATCAACCAAGAAAACTAAAACAGAGGTTGTGCAGTGTTCCCAGTACTGTAGGTGTATCTCATATTTCATCAGGCTAATCTGGTTTAGGTCTCATGAAAGAGTATAACGATGTCAATCGTCAAACCTTTGTCTTCAGTCAATTTGATGGTCATACCTTTGGTGTCCGAACTGTCTGAATTTCTTAACTCAATATTAAATGGAAAACTTACTCTCATCTTGCTTGAAAGTTTCAGGAATATGCTCAATTTAACTTCCTAAGTGCCATCACGCATTGTATATATCATATTTACTCTAAAATTTTAACTGGCAATCTTTCATGCTCTTAGGTAATTGGGGATTTAGCAATGATTGCTGGTGATGCACATGTTATACATTTCTTATGTTCAATGGCCGTCAAAGTATTGCGTGATTCAGCTCTGCATGCTACTGGTCAGTTGCCGAGAGAATTAGTTCCCCTGCAACTTCTTCTGAGGTTTCGTTTGAGTGGATTCTGAATTTCTTTACTCAAATCGTATAGTATATATACATATATATACATATATATATATATATATATATATATATATATATATATATATATATATATATATATATATATATATATATATATATATA